ACGAACCCACGACCCACTCTAACGCCCCCGCTCCCTGTCCCTCGACCTCGTCCCAACCCCTCTCCACCACCCCTCGCCCCCCTCGACCACGCCCCCCCCCCAAACCTCCTGACCCACTCCGACCCCCCCTCCCTCGTCCCCTGACCAGGGCCGGCTTTAAAGAGCCCAGGAATCGGGGCTTGGGGGCCAGGCCGGAGGTGCTAGGCCGGAACCAGGGCCAGCGCTGCTGGGGGCCTGGCTGGGCCCGGGCCGGTGCTGCTGGGGCCGGGGCCGGAGCCGCTGGGGCTGCCGGGCACTGCTCGGCCTGGGCCGGAAGGAACCGCTCGGCCAGGGCCGCACCTTCCCGGAGCTCTTCTCCTTGCTCCCCCCCGCCCCAGCTTACCTGCTGCTGCCTCCTGCTTGCCCCTGCTTCTTTTCAGACTTCCCGCGAATATTTGATTGGTGGGAAGCAGGGGAGGAGGAGGAGCAGGTGGGCGGAGCGTTCAGGGGAGGGGAGGAGGGGGAAGACAGCTGCGGGGCCGGACGGCGTGGTAAGGCTGCAGGGGATGGGGGGAGCCGGGAAGGGGCTTTGGCTGCCCAGCGGCACTTGGCCGCCGCTTTTCTGTCTATAAATAGCCGACCAGGGGGAAATCCCGGACATTTTTAGATTTTTAAAAATCCCCCCCGGACGGCTATTTATAGACCGAAAAGCCGGACATGTCTGGGGAAATCTGGACATATGGTAGCCCTATGTGAAGCCCCAGTGACTCCCCACACACACACCAGCAGAGGGGGCTGATGCAGGATCAGAGCCTTATTGGGACATTTCTCACCAACGCTTCCAGGGCTGGAATGTTACCGGTGATCTGGCTCCAGCTCAGCAAACAGCCTGAGTCAGTTCCAGGAAGGGAAACAACCGGCTGCTGCTACAGGCTGGACATATCTCTGAGCTCAGGAAAGTGAAACTATCCCTGTTACACTGTCCAGAGGGAGCCATGGCCACAGAAAACCCCATGGAAAGTCTCCAGGAAGAAGCTACATGTCCCGTCTGTCTGGAGTATTTCACAGAACCTGTCAGTCTGGAGTGTGGGCACAATTTCTGCCGATCCTGCATCGGCCAGTGCTGGGAGGGATCGAATACAGATGTCTCCTGCCCTCAGTGCAGAAAAACTGTGCAACAGGGAAACCTCAGACCGAACAGGCAGCTGGCAAATAGGGTGACCAACAGCAAGTGTGAAAAATCGGGATGGGGGTGGGGGGGGGTAATAGGAGCCTATACATGAAAAAGACCCAAAAATCGGGACTTTCCCTATAAAATTGGGACATCTGGTCACTCTACTGGCAAATGTTGTAGAAATAGCCAAACGGTGGAGTTTACAGGCAGCAAAGGGAGCAGGAGAGGAGAGGGTGTGTGGGGAACACCAGGAGACTCTGAAACTGTTCTGTGAAGAGGATCAAACTTCTGTCTGTGTGGTTTGCCATCTGTCCCGGGCTCACAGAGCTCATATGGTGGTTCCCATAGAGGAGGCTGCCCAGGAGTACAAGGTAGGGAATTGCTGGCAAGTTTAATGGGTAATAACTGTGGGTTTTAATTACAGGCTGATTTCACTGAAAGTTGCCTGTCACAGGTGTGACGCATCATTCAGCTCTGTAAAGCCTTCATTGTAGGGGAGATGCTATAACAAAATTAATGATCTGGCAGTGTGGAGACAGAATCAAATATCAAGTCTTAAAAGATATCTGCTGTGGGAAACTTTTCTATGAGATTCTGAATGCTTTTGACCCTCAGATTCCACTGCTGAAATAAGGGAACTTTTTACACAATGGATGGTGCTAACAATCAGCAAGGTTTAAATCACAAGAGCTGCACGCCAGTCTATGGGAGTGTGTTACTTTGAGACTGGAGAACTGAGCATTTAAATATCAACACCGTTAATTATTTTGTTCCCCTGTGAGAGCAGAGAGGGAGAATTACAGCTCGGCACCATTTACTGCCAGTGACGCCTCCTTCCAGTGTCACAAGCGGGTGAGGTTTGGGAGATGCCACCTCTTATTCCCCCCAGTAAAGGAGGACCAGGCCCAGAGAGCCCAGCAGAGTCCAGTGGTATAACTAGCCCCATGAGGGGAGTCGGGCTCCTGGGGCCGATCAGCAACTCTATCCTGTTTTGAACATTGCACCATCTACTGTGAACAGATCTTGGTGTCTCCTTTTGGTGACTCACATGGGCAGAGCTTATTTTGTGGGTGAGCTTCAAATAATCCAGCCACCTCCCCCGCATTCTGATCCCTGCTCATTTATGAAGCTGTTTTGCTGGATGCAAAGGCTGCTTTTCCACCTCTGTGACTAGCCCCTGCTGGCTCCCTCCCTCCCTGCTTCCCTGCAGCAGCACCGCAGGGGTGTCACCGAACAGCATCCCAGGAGCTCTCAGCAGCAGCAGCTGCAGCAGCCTGGGCCCTTGGGCAGAGGGGAGGAGAGAACTCGAGGGCTCAGAGAAGAGTGAAATGGGGAGATCTCAGGAGGGGGTTCTGGGGGGCTGCAATGGGTGTTGCGCAGAGCGGGGCTGACGGGGCAGCAGCACGTTGCTGTGCTGTGTGAATGAATCACACACTGTCAAAGGGGAAGAGAGCCCTGGATTATTACAGCTCTGGAGCAGTTACAATTATGGGTGGCACATTCCCCCAGACCGAGTGTGTTCCCTGTTCCTCACTGACCTCCAGCCACATCACAGCTTCACCCTGTACAGTTCATGGGACTGCGCTGTCTCAGGTGCTCAGCTGCTGCCTGAGGGAGGCCACATGGGAGCCTGGACAGACGAGAGCACAGTGGGGTCTTGTTCCTGGCCTGGGTCTGGGCACCGGGCAGCGAGGTGCTGTCCCAACCTCTTCACTCTCACTGGCAGGAGGGATCGTTCAGAACCTTCCCAGCTATTTCCCCTCTAGCCTGTGCTCAGTGATGGGAAACTTTAGCTCAAACACAGGCTCTGAAAAGCCCTGAGTGTCTGCAGGAAGCAGAGCCCCTGCTCTGAGACTGGCGTCTCTGCTCCCATGAGGCCTTGGGGCCGGCAGAGCCGAGTCAGCTGCTCGCTTCCAGGGTATTTACTGCTGGTGTATGAAATGCCAATATGTAGAGTACTGTCCACCCATCGGACAGGCAGACTAATGGCTGTTTATCGCACACGATGCCCCTGCAGGTGAAACTCCAGGGAGCCCTGGGCCCTCTGAGGAAGGAGCTGGAAGAGGCCCTGGCTCTGACGTCTAAAGAGGAGGAGAAAAGCACAGAGTGGCAGGTGGGTGTCCGGGTTTATTCCTCCCTGAGCCCTTCACCCTGCAGCATTCCCAGGAATGATGGGGCCGTAAAGCTCCAGGATGAGGTTATGAACCTGTTCTGGTTGTTTGCTCCGTTGCACAGGCTTGGTGCCAGACATGGGCAGCGCATGCATCTGGCATTGGGGAGACCGGGCGTGAGTGCCGGAACCTCCCCAGCGCCCGGATCATTGCCCTGCCGACTGCTCCATCCCCATTTGGCCTCCTCTCCCCGAGGCCCTGCCCATGCCCCGCTCCCGCTCAGCCCCCTCCCCAGAGGCTCAGCGCACATTGTTGCAGCTTCCCCACCCGTTCCCCCAAGGGCTCCTCACCTGCTGCTTGCTCCTTTCTGCCCCCTCCTGCCTAACTGTGTCTTTACAAAGCACCCTAGACAACCCCGCTGTGGAACTGGCCATATGAACTCTGAACTAAAACAAACCATTTATGGTATGTTTCCCAAAGAAGTAAATCTCCTGACAAACCTGATACTGATCTAATATCCCCTGATTCATGGACAGAGGCCCAGTCTGTGTAACTCAACATCTGGCTCGCGTTCTCTCTGTGCCTTTCCTATTTTTCTATTTCAAGAGGAAAGTGAAGAACAGGAGAGAGACGATTGCAGGTGAATTTAACAAACTGCACACGCTGCTGAGAGCGGAGGAGCAGCTGCTTCTGCAGAGACTAGAGGTGGAGGAGAGGGAGACTCTGCAGAGACTAAGGGAAAATGTCACCAAACTCTCCCAGCAAAGTTCCTCTCTGCAGCAGCTGATCGCAGAGATAGAGGAGAAGTGTCAGCAACCAGTTGTCGAGCTGCTAAAGGTGAAACGGCATCAAAATTCTCCACCATCCAGAATTATAACTCAGATCCCTGGGTCCGTATCCCAACAATGAGAGTAAATGTGTTTTGTGGTTACAGACAAACAGAACATGGGGCTAAGGGCTCCATCAGTTCCAAAATATCGCAATTCATGTCAGAGGGGAATTCTCCTCCTGGAGACCCAGTGAGGCCGTGGGAGATTAAATGGATGATACGAAAATGATACTGAGCTAAACCCATCCCTGCGCTGACCCCAGAATATTGGACCCAACACAGTCAATAAACACAGATACTGAGGGGTTGGGTCCCTGGAAGGGAGAACCCTTTAGCTAAATTCCTGTCTCACCTACATAAATGAAACAAGTGTTAATGCAAAATGGTGTATGAGATTTTACCACAAAACAGAGGAGCCTGGGAGAGTTGATCTATTTTCTAGATGAAAGTTTGATGCCCAGAGCGAGACTCACTCAGTTTTATGCACATTGTGTTAGTACAGAACATTGATTCTCTTTTTCCTTTCAGGATGTGAAAAGCACATTGAGCAGGTGTGTTTCCCACTTTCATTGCTCTTATATTTGTGGTGGTGGTTCTGGGATGATGTGTGTACAGAGCAGCTGAGTGATGATGGGACATTTTCTTCATAGGAGTGAGAATGTGAAACTCCAGGAACCAGAAGCTGTTTCTACTGGCCTGAAGAACGTGTATAAAATTTCCCTTGACATGAGGGAAGTGCTGAAGAGATTCGGAGGTGAGTGGAGTCTACTGGGACATTCAGCTGTATTGTGCCTGGGGATCTGGACAGAGCCTGGGACCTGGGACCCTGTGGCCGCTGCTAAGCACTGCCCCAGCCCCCATTAGCCAAGGCTGGCCGAGTTTTCTGAGCTGGAGATGGGGCCGGTCTGGCTGCTGTGGTCTGACCTGGGCCATGTGTTACTGGGTAACAAGCTGAATCCTATGGGCCCCTCGTCTGCTCTGAGCACAGCCCTGTGTGAGGTTGGGTCAGTGGTTTGTTGCTCAGTGAGTGAGACTCACATGTCAACATGTCTGAGTGTGAGCTGCCCCCATCCAAACCCCTCCCCACAACCCCAGCGCAAAGACCAGAGGCAAAGGCAGAAACCTGACAGCGAGGAGGGACAGAGAAGAAACTAAGGCAGAGGAGAGGGGGACTGGGAAGGTTCAGTGAGCTCAGTCTGTAATTGTTGAACTGGCCCTTTCATCCTACCCCTGCCGCTCCTCTCTTCCCACCCATCCCCAGCAGGGGGCGGTCGAAGGGGCCAAGCTGGGTGTGTCTGTCCCGGCCGATGGAGGCTGCGCAGTCGGTGCCGGCTGCAGGGCCAGGATCTCAGGGCTCCGGGGAGCAGGAACCCCAGGCTGTGGGGGAAGCAGCTTCCTCTGTGTGACTGGCTGGAGCCAGCACATCCCTGCTCCCCTCCCCGTTCACTGCTCCCAGCCCAGCTCAGTCTGTGCCCACTGGGCCCTGAACACGGCTGGGCTCTGGGCCATTCCCCACCCCTGGCCCCTGAGCCTGTCGGGATCCTGAGCCAGTCACCTCAGTGCCTCGTTCTAGGGGATCACCAGCCCCTGGGGAGCCTCCTGTCAGCCCCCCAGAAGCTCCTTCCTGGGCAGGATCCCAGGCCCTGAGTCACTCGCTGGCTGCTCCAGGCTGGCCAGGCCCAGGGTTTCCAGCAGGGCTGTTGGTGCTGGCACCGCACTCGCTGCCAGAGCTCCCAGCCCCTGACCCAGCCCGGCCTGTTGTCCCAGCACTGACCCCTCCCCTGCGGGTGGGGACCCTGCTGCTCTCAATGGCTGAGCCCCTCTCTCTGCCGCTGCCTCTGCTGCTGCGCTCGCAGGCTCAGCCCGTGCCAGGGCCAATGCGGCGCTGCTGGGGCTGCTCCTTCCCTCGGCACCTGGAGTCTCTGTGTCTGGGGCAAATGGCGGGTGAGTGGGGAGGGACCTGCTCAGAGACACACGCCCTGTGCTGCACCCAGAGGGCAGAGACCAGCCAGGGCTGGGCGGCAAAGTGCCACCACGCTGGGATTAACCCTTTCCGTTTAACCACCCCAGCAGCCCCGGCCGGTCAGTGCCACTCGACTGCCCGCGCTCTGACCCCAGGGTCCCCATGTGCAATGGGGAAGGCCCTGCGCTGTCATGCAGCCCTTAGGGGCTGGGCACTGAGTTTTATTGTAGATATAGTGCCCACAAATGAGCCAGGCACTGCAGAGACAGAACAAGGGGCTGCCGGCTCCACAGGGCTCCTGGTCTGAGTGCGGACAAGGCCCAGCAAGGGCAGCAGCAAACATTGGGGGAGGGGGCACGAATGTCCCAATTGTGGGGCCAGCCACTCCCTGAGCCCATCCTGTGCCTGTCTTCTGGGTGTGGTAGACAGTATTGTAGTGACCCTGATGGCTCCATGCTGGGCACTGGGTCACCCCCAGGGAACAGGACAGGGCAGAGGCAGCCCGAGGATGGGGGGAGCTGGAGGCTGTGGGGGAGGGGGAGCAGCCCGGGAGCTGGGACAGGGACACTGGAAGCAGGTGGGTGCCCAAAACCCTGTGCTCCGTTCGCTCCAGGTTCCCACTCTGTGATGCAGGCTCTGCTGGGGTCAGATGCTGTGGTGAGGGGCCCCCGCAGACAGACTGAAGAGAGCGGCTCTGTCTGCATGGGGAAGGGGCAGCAGTTCTGTTAAATGGGTTCCAGTTTTGTAGACTCATCATGGGGTGTCGCCCTCAGGTACATTTCAGGGTGTCTTGGCAAGCATCTTGCCTCAGTTTACCCTCTTCAGCCACCTCACCATCTAAAGGGTTTAAGAGAAAAGTCCCCTGCCAGGGTCCACTCTGAGTCCAAGTAAATCCCAAAATAAAATCTTTTCCTTCACTCTGCTCCAGCCTCCAGCTCTCTCTCAAGCTCCTCAGTGTCCTCAAGTCAGGAGTCCTCAGTCCTCCTTCCCGGAGCTGAGCTTGGATTAGTTTCCATCGTGGAATCAGATGACTGCAGCCCCCCTTCCTGGAGCTGGGGTCATTTCAGACTGTGCCTTTATTCTCTGCATCCACTTTCTCCAGCCGGGGGCAGCTCTCCAGGGTTCTGTCCTGCTACAGCTGCTGCTGTCATTGTCATCTCTGGCAGCTCGTCCCCTTTAGCGGAGCTCCTCTGTCTAGGACAGTGGTCCCCAAACTTTTTTGGTCATGCCCTCCCTTACCTGGTTTGCGCCCCCACCCCGGGAGCTGCGGTCAGGAGCTGGGCGAGGAACGGGGCCGCAATTGGGGCCAGGAGCTGGGGGCCGTGGCTGGGAGTGGTCCAGCAGTTGGGGCCGGGAGACGTGGGCTTCACCTGGGAGCGAAGCCGCTGGTGCAGCCTGAGCTGCAGCTGGGGCTGCAGTTGGGGCCAGGAGCTGGGGGCTTTGGCCTGGAGTGGAATCATGGTTGGGGCTGGAGCTGCAGCTGGTGTCGGGCCAGAATGGAGCTGGGGGCAGAGCAGGTTTGGGTGACGTTCCCTTCCTGCCACCGATGGGGGCTGGTCCAGGCCCTGCCCTGCCCCCAAATGTTCCTCCACACCCTCTAGGGGGGCACGACCCACAGTTTGGGGACCATTACTCTAGAAGAACTTCTTTCAGGCTCCTTGCTCTGGTGAGCTCTCCTGGGAGCTCCTCTCCTCAGCAGCTCCCTGTCCCTAGGGTCCCTTCAGCTGATCCCTGGTAACCCTTTATCCGGCTCATTAGCTGTTTCGCTGCCAACTAGCCACCTAGGGATTTAATTATTTCCAGGTTGGTCTGGGTTATCTCATTCTCCCTTAAAGGAGCCTGTCATGGGTAGTCTGGTCCATGACTCCCCTAAAAGGGCCAGCCCTCTTGACACATTTCCCCCGACCCCCAGAGCCAACCTGTATTCAAAGGTAGGCTTGACCATGGCTGACACTTGGTTATGTTCTGCAGCCGGGGTGAGGTGGGGGGTACTTCCTGCCCTGCTGTCACAAGGGAATCTGCAAGGCCCTTGGTCATAATTTTATTCTCGTCACTGAAGTATGAAGAGACCAGGAGTTTGATTCCCCATGTCTCCATGTAGCTCATGTCATGTGTAAAATCCCCCATAGTCTTCAGCATGTCATAGTTCAGAACAACTCTTTGGCCACAGCAGAGATAGTCAATAACACTGGACTTTCATCATAGGTGTGATGGTCGTGTTGCAGATATGGGCTGGCTACAGAGCTTCCCTCTCAGCCAGATACACACCAGATGTGTTCATCACAAAATCCTTTAACGTTCTGCCAAGTATGGCTGAGGTCAGCTTAAATATGGTATTTTACACCCAGCGCTACCTAATGGTTGAACAGCATAATTCAGTTTAGCGTTACATTACATCTCCCCTTTTAAGTTCTACATTCCTACCATGTATAATATTTACATTATCGCACTGTCTTTGATGGTCTTCTAATTCTAATGTCAGTGACCCTGTGCAAACCCCTAGTGCAGATGCGCTGTCCGGGTATGGCAATGGCCCCTGTTCCCCCCAGCACCCCTCAAGGCTCATCCCCCCATTGCCCTGCCCCTTCCAATGAGCCCGGACATCCTGCCCTAGCATGGAGAGTCCCAGCTGCACCAGTGTGTATGGGGATGCCACCAACCTGCTCTTAGCAACAAACCAGCCACACACGGCCCCAGAGCAACAGAGATTCCCTGGGACTTGCTCCCTTCACCTTCCCTCCTGCCCCCCCTTCACTTCCCTCTACCCCCCTGGCACTGTCCTGCCTCTCCCTTACCCTTCCTTCAAACCCTGTGCCCAACTGACCCCTGCCTCTATCCTGTCCCTTCCCCTGGCCCCAAACTTCTGCAGCTCCCCTGGCCCCCGGCCCCTCTCCCCCCACCTTGTCTCCCTGGCATGTGCCCCTGCCCTCCACCCACCTCTGGCCCTCTGAGACCTGCCAACCTCCACATGCCCCTGTGCCCCCTAGATCCTGCTCCTCCCTTACCCTTCCCTCACCCCTGTGCCCACCTGGCCCCTGCATCTATCCTCACCCCTCCCCTTCTTCTCACCCTTTTTCTGCTCCCCTGAGCCCTACCCCTCTGTCCCCCACTTTGCCTCCCTGGCATGTGCCCCTGCCCTCCACCCATCTCTGCCCCCTGGAACTCACCCCTCCCTTCTCCCGCTGCTGTCCTGGCACTTGCCCCTCTCCTGCAAACATCCTCTGCACCCTGGAGCCCACCCATCACTATAGCCCCCTGCTTCTTCTTGGCATGAACCTCTCTCCTTTCCCCCTCTGCTGCCATGTCTCCCACCCCACCCCTTGCCCCCTACCCCCCTTGTGCCTGCCACTGCCCTCACCCCCTCTGCCCATTCATGCCCCCCACCCTCCTCTGCTATATTTGCTCCCGCCCTTCTCAACCCCCTGAGCCCAGCCTGGTACCCATCCCTGTCCCCACCCTCTCTGACCCCTGGCACCTGCCCCTTCCCTCATCCCCCTGTGCCCACTCCTCCTGTAGCCCCACTCTGACCTTCTGGCTCCTGCCCCTCCTTGATCCCCTCTCCTAACACCTCCCTCTACCCACCTGTCCTACCTCTCTCCTCACCCCTCTCTGCCCCCTGGTGCCCACCTCTTCCCTCACCTTCCTTCTGCCCTCCCTGTGTCTGCCCCTCTGACTACATGCTCCTCACACCCCTCTGCCCCCATCACCCATGACTTGCCCCTCCCCCTGCCCCTCTGAAGCCCACCTATTCCCTTGCTGCCTCTTGCCCCTTGTTCTCCCTGGTGCCTGCCCCATTTCATTCCGCACCACTGTCCCCCTGGTGCTTCTCCCTCCCCTTGCCCCATTGCTTCCTGCCCATCTTCTCTCCCTCCTGTGCCCCTCCCAGCTTTCATCCCTCCCCTCATACTCCTCTAGCCCCATGGCACCCACCCCTTCCCTTGTCCTCCCACCCACTGATGATCACCCCTCATCCCTGCCATTTGACCCTGGTTCCTTCCCCATCTGACACCCCACTACTGTCCCGCTGGCATTTGTCTCTCCTACACTCTGTCCCTGGTTCCTGCCCCTTCCTTCTCACACCGTGGCCCCCACCTCTCCCCTTGGCACAAGCCCCTCCCCTTGTCCCCACACCCTGGTGCCCGCCCCTTCCCTTGCACCCCCCCACAGCCACCTTCCCCTTAGTTCTCCCCGCTCCTCACCCTCTGCCTCCCTGAAACCTGCAACCTCACCCCCCTCTGGTCCCCTGGTGCCAGCCCCTCTGTTCACGCCTCCTCTGCCCCCGAGGTCCATCTCTACCATTGCCCCCATTTGCCTCCATGGTGTCTGCCCCTTCCTTTGCCCCCTCTGCCTCCCTGGTGCAAACCCCTTCCCTTGTCCCCCTTTGGGCCCCTTGCTGTTTGCCCCTCCAACCTCTGCTCCTGTCACGTGCCCCTCCCTTTTCCCCTCCCAGCATCAGCTTCTCCCCTCCCCTCCCCCACCCCCACCCCCACTGACACCTTTCCACCCCTCCCCCGCTCCTCCTGCCCTTTCCTCTCATTGTCTCCTCACAGTCAGATGGGCCCTGACTCCCCTCAGGCAACAGCCCCCCCCCAGCTCCCAGCAATTAACGGGGATGCAGGTTAATTTCCCTTTGATCCCAGTGACCAGCCCTGCCCTCGGCTCTGACTCTCTGACTCTCTCCCCAGTGGACATGACTCTGGATCCAGACACGGCTCATCCCTGGCTCGTCCTGTCTGAGGATCAGAAACATGTGAGACTCGGAGACACACACCAGGATCTGCCCGACAACCCTGAGAGATTTGATCCTTGTCCCTGTGTCCTGGGCATTGAGGGGTTCACAGGTGGGAGGCGTTACTGGGAGGTGGAGGTGGGAGACAAGACTGGACTCTGGGGGTTTGTAGGGAATCTGTGAGCAGGAAGGGGTGGGTCACACTCTCACCTGAGGATGGATACTGGGCCATGTGGCTGAGGGATGGGGAATACGAGGCCCTCACCTCCCACTCGACCCCCCTCCCCGTGAGCATCAGGCCCAGCCGGGTGGGGATTTTCCTGGACTATAAGGCGGGCGAGGTCTCGTTTTATAGTGTTACCATATTTCCACAATCAAAAAAGAGGACACTGGGGGAGCCCCGCTCTAGCCCCACCCCCGCCCTGCCCCCATCCACTCCCTCCCACTTCCCACCCCCTGACTGCCCCCCTCAGAACCCCAACCCCCCCTGCTTCTTGTCCCCTGACTGCTCCCTCCTGAGAACCCCCCACCCTAACTGCCCCCATAGGACCCTACCTGTCCCCTGATTGCCCCGACCCTTATGGGTGGCAGGTTTGTAGAAATTTTGGTGGT